TTCCGTTTCAACTTATGTGTAAGCTGCCATCCATTCCTTTTGTTCATTTTAACACATTTTGGTAATCACAACAAAGTGTACTTGCAACATCTGCACGAGAAGGACAGAGCCCTCAAGATGCACTAATGTATCTGCAGTTTGCAAGTGACAGTCATTTGCTAAATATAAACCTTTTGCAATCTGCATATAAACAGTCTCTTACAAGCCGCCCTCGTGAAACTGCACCCAGATTCATAATGGTTGTAGCTGCACAAGGCACTAGTGAAGAATGTAAAAGCAAATGAAAACTGACATCTCTTTACTCAAATGTATTTTTATAAATTAAAGATAGGTTAACACAAAACAATCTAAAAAAGTGTAATATCATGGCGTCATCATCATGCCACTTCCCAATTTAAAAAAAAAAAATAAATAATCTTCTTTGCCGTAAACAAACTACAGATTTGTGCAGTTTTCCAAAAACTTACTTTTCAATGATTCCTGACAGTCAGGGTTTTTCTAAATCTCTTTCAAACTGATGCAGTTACTCACACACACCAGGCAGCCGTATGTTCAGCGGTACAGCCAAGTTTTGTTTAGATCCAGAGCTGTCTTATGTAACTGAAACATGCAAAGGCAGGATGTGTTTAGACATGGAGATGTTTGTGAGTGAGATACAACCATATTTTTTATAACAATATTACGCTACAGGACGTTTGAACAGACATCTTTTAAGAAGCTTTCAGCTTCCCAGCATTTCTGCAAATGTTTGTCTCCTTTTACATTTATTAAGCCAATTTCTATGAATTGCATGTTTGAAATGGGCCAAAAAGCCTTTGCGTATTCACTTGGAACTATCAACAGAATAGAATTAAATTAACACTGGTACTGATGACTCAGTTTAAATCCATAATGAATGATAAATGATTCCACCTCCACTTGCACATGTTTTTGGTTTTTACTTTGACTCTTTTTGCAAATTGCATTTATACAAATTGTAATTTTTTTTTATAGGAAACTATAACTGCTGCTTACAGCAGTTGTTATTCCAGCTTCTCCACCCTGTGTTGACAAAGTACGGTCTGTAAATCAGCCCAGCCTGCCGCCTAGCCAAGGTTAGAAGAAGAGTTTTTCCAGCCGCCAGTAGTCATGTCAAACTGCCATGGAGGAGCTCTGGGCAGCTAAAAGTCTGAACCAGCAGCTGCCAGAGTGAAGAGGTGGCTCTCTTTCTTTGTTCAGTAAAGGTTAATAAATCAATCAATCAATAATAAATAAAGAAGTTATGATGAGAAACTCTGCAACGAAACACAACACGCAGTACCACAGTGCATCACGCTACCACAGAAGAGAACAATCTATTATGAGGCAGGTGACAGGTGAGACAACTTTTGGATAACTGCTGTTTCTTGAAAACTGGCCAGGATTGAGATAAGGCCCTTTTTGGCAAATGTGTGCTGTGTCAGTTCCACTGTCATGCATCACATCTGTGCATCTCATCTTAGCACTGTAAGGGACAAGCTAAGGAGAGAGGACCAGATGTGCTGAGGGTAAGAAGGAATCCATGGAGCTCAAACTGTTCATCACTTGAAACGGGCACTATGTAGTTTTGGGGAACGGACAAACGAAGCGGACGTCTGAGGTGACTGTACTACTCAAATACTTTGAAAGCGCAGTACAAGGCCAAAATAAAACGTACTGTGATTTGAAGTCAGCTCATTAAAGAATATGCGCTACGGATGGCTAACTAGCCAGAGGCCATGCAGCTGTGAATTTGTCAAACATTTTCAGGCCCTTCGGTGCATTTTGTAAACTCGTCTGCAGTTGTGAAGACTGAAGACTGAAGCAGAATGATGAGATGATTAAAGGGGTCAAGCAATGTGAGACAGAACAAATGAGAGCTATGGAGTGAGGCAGGCTGATATCGTTTGGAAGAAGAGTTGCACAAACAGATCCAGTCTGCTCTCCTCATTTGATGCTCCATTTAGCAGAAACACAAAATAAACCAATCCCCAGTGCAGCGCTGCTTACAGACACAGTCGTTATGGAGTCATTTAAGAACAAGGGAAAAAAGAGCAAGCCCAAAATAGACACTGTGCTTTTCCTCTGACTCTGGTTTCCCCCTGCAGCTTTTGATATGATTTGTAATATCTGAGGGTAAATCAGTGGCTGAGAGTATTCAGCACATGACATTTCCTTCAGTACTCCAGCAATTTATAATGACTGGGAAGCACTCCAGTGAGAGGCCCAGCTCACACAGCAGCAAAATACTCACCAGCCCTAAAGATTAATCTAAGTCAACACAGTTCTTTACTATGGAGGCACTTGGAAGATATCCCCAAGAGATCAAATGCTGCTGCTGCTTACATAACACAGTATAATTCTCATTGGCTACACAGAAATCATGACAAGTGCAAGCACAAGCCACATTTGTGGGATTCAGTTTGTTTGAATATTACTGAATCAAATCAAATAGAAAATGAAAATAGTTTGAAAAGCCCTAAAGCTGCAATAAAACCATTTTTATTTCACTGAGCAGATTTCTCTTTTGCGGTTACTTTCTTAAGCAAATGCTGCCATTGGTCAACAGCTTTTGGAGGGACAAGTCATGTTCAGTTCAACAGTGATGTACCTCTACCTAATGCATCATCCCCTCCCGCTACAATACAACAGTTAAACAGTATGTAACCAGGCCTTTATACACGGATGAGAGGACAGAGTGACCATGGAAAGCAGCTGTGGCACTGAGAGACTGAATAACAAGCGTCTGAGACAAAAAGCCTCCCACTATAGCTTCTACAGCGTCATACTGCGCTGGTGGCCACCCACCACCAGATATGATCCTTACTGGAAATTCGTTAATGCCCGTTCAAAATCTTAGTGGACATGAATGTGAATATACAGCCTCGTAATTGACACCCCCATGTGGAGAGCATGTACCAGGCTGATCGTTAGGTCGCACATGGACGGCTCTTGGTGCCGAGACTGAGTCTAATAATGGCAAATTAATCAACAGGTGAATAATGACAGTATACACTGACGGCCACTTTATTAGGTACACCTGTACGCACTTCTTCCTTAACATCTGTGTTTATGAAGCTCAAAATGCTTCAGTTTTTGATGAAACTGTCATAAACTGTCAATTATTATTGAGGTCGTAGTTAAAGGTGCTGTTGTACTGGATGACATTACATTTAGAGGTGTCTCTATATTTCTGTTCTCCCCAGGTACAAACAGAATATTAGGAACACCTCTGAATATAACGTGGCCCAGCAAAGCACCACCTTTAACTGCGGCCTCAATAATAAACATGTAATTAAATTTATACATTTATGACAATTTCACCAAAACTGGAAACGTTTTGAGCTTCATAAACACAGATGTTAAGGCGGAAGTGTTGCACTGAAGTGCATACAGTGATACAGGTGTACCTAATAAAGTGGCTGGTGAGTGTGCAGTTTATAATAGAGCATATCTCCTAATTTAAAACACAAACTGAAATCATCAGTGGTATCACACGAAACAGGTTTGTGTATCTCACACACAAATGGTGATTATATTCTTTAGACTGAGGATACAAATGCAAAACTCAAGGACTCAGTGACAAGAAACAAGAACAAACAATGAAGCACTGGCTACAGGAAAACCTCAGTAAATAAGTGCACTAGAGAATACAACAAACAACTAGGGAGGCAGAAGATAAACCACCAGGCAAATACACTCCTGGACCAAAGCGCTCACAACTAAACACAAACATATACTGTATATTAACACCTATGCAACCACAAATAATACCGGCAGGGAGGAGACTAAACAATAACTGTGAACACGAGGCAGCAGTGAACCAGCGAGCAGGGTGAATTAGAAACGTGAGCAAACTCAACTGCAGCAAAAACACAGAAGCCCATAAGATAAAGAATAAGACACAAGGTGCTGAGTCTGTACAGGAAAGCAAGACGCACGGAGACAGATGCAGAGGAGTCTGAAATACAGAGAAACACCAGGCGAGGTAACACAGACCAACTAGCAAAAGGTAAAGGCACATGACTGCTGATGAAAATCAGCTGTGGGTAACAAGCTGGCTGTGGAGGTCAACACTGGAACAAAAACCACAAACAAAAAGCAGACCAACATAAGAGTCGGGAACAGGACGCACAGGGAAATCAGGACGCGCGTCTCCTTGTGAACTCCTTTTTTATCAGGTGCAGAGGCGCTGGCTTTGGCTGTAACCTAACCTAACAACTTACAAAATTAACCAGTAAAATATACACAGTACAATAATGTTAGATCCCTTTGTACTTTGTCACAACTTTAGCTCACACTGCACAGGCAAGCATTAACGTGGATAACAACATGCATGGAAGCTACACAAAGATTTTAAAATCAACTCAACAATTTATCTCTAAGCAGATTTCAGCAAATGAAAGAATCAAAACATGCAGAGCTGTGTTCTCACTGCAACTACTAAGGTTCCCTCAGTGTATGGCGAGTGCACACTTCAAAATGTTTTCATCCCTCCATGAGTCACTAACCCAATCAAAAGTGGCAGGAGTTGGCTGTTGCTCTAATTGCATGCAAACTGATGATTTCACAGTGACTGGTCGCTAGGCCTTGCTCATGCGCCCTGGATGACAACACCTTGGTCGGAGAGCTGTCTGCAATAAGAGCATGAAAGCGAGCAGACAAAGCCTCAAGATGAGCCCCTGGACTGAGCACGTACAGCACACATGGTGGCTATAGATGCACTCATTTGGATTCAGGACAAGGCAGAAAATCACAACAACTGTCCACTTTGTGTTCCAGTTGACACCATTATCTTGAAATGGTTTAAAATTAGTGCTTAGTACCCGAACAGGATGACAAGACTACAATCAAGCAGAGTCCAAAGTAAATGCCAACAAAAACTGAAACTAGAAAAGCATTTTCACCAACAAACAAAGGCCAACTCTCACATTGACCTGAACTGGCTGGACCAGGTTCTGCAGAGAAAAGGAAATAGCTTTTAGAAACAGAACAGCTCTTACTTCAATGAGGAAGTCCCCCGTTCTGAGTCCCGCCTGCCATGCCACTCCTCCCTCATCCACCGACTCCAGGTACTGCAGGGCGGGGAAGGCAGGCGTGGGAGTAAACTCCTCAATGGGCGTATCCGCTGCACAGCAAGGAAGGACAGAGGTGGAAAGGTTTAGAAGAAAGCAAAATGAACTGCAGTAATACCACACAACTGACTGTTCTCAACAGAAAATATTTAGTCACGTGTAATAATTTACATCATTAAAGGCTGCATTCCATTTACACCTAAATGAGTGACATGTATGGGTGACACCTGTGTTTTCAGTGACATCACTTTCCTCTCTGTGGGTCAAGCTGGGACACAGTTAGCCTAGCTTAGCACAAAGACGTGAGGCAGGAGGTTCCTGCCAGCATCAGCTGTATTTCAGCTACAGTGCCTGTTGCATTTCCAACACGCAGAAATGTTCATGTCCCACCATTTAAACACTAAACTATGAGTGTGTTCCTTTCAACAGTCAAGTAGATATTACTGTCTCTCACACTTTGTATTTTTCATGTCAAATCAAGAGTGTGTGCGAGCACTTAATCATCCATCCTGCTTAGGATGTGAATGAAGTGCACCAAAGGAGCGTGTTTATGAGGGCTGGATCATGTGAAAAAGTCTGTTACCTTGTTTTGGAAACTACATCAAAACAATAGATATTTAATATCTCAACTGAGGGAACACAGTCTCTCTTCTCTTTAGTTTTGTCCCAACACAAAGCAGCCATGTAAGACTGAAAAACCATCAGATAAGGAGTAAATAAAGCCAGGAACTGACCTAAAGATTGACATTCATAACAGTTTTGTTGGTTATGGGGTGCTACACAGCCTGAGATTTGGAAATAAAAGGAACAGTGACAAAATGATATGTGATGATTTATGCTAGAATGCACAAGAGTGAACAACACTGTCACTAACCCTAAGAACACTTCAAACCACCAGGTATGCAAACATGATTACTGTTATGGTATTTTATATATATAGTGCAGCCATCGCTTAAGTTTTCAACAACAGTTTACCATCTCTGCTCTACTGTACTATCACTCCATCCTCCCCACGCATGGCTGCAGCCCACCCTGCCTCTTCCTATTGGGGAGGTTAGAAATATTGCAGCTGGCAGAACCCAGCGATGACAAGCGACACTTCCTATAACTCATTCTCCTATTGGAAGACTGAGTGTGCACTGAGGGTTTCACCAGGGTATTTACATGATTATGATGACTGTGTTGCTTTAGGTGTGTGTCTGTGTGTGACACAGAGAGGGAGGCAGGCAGAATGCACAGAGCAAAAGAGGATGTGAGCTTATGTGACAGCTCCAGCATCAGTGCAGGATAAGCTCGGCTGGGTCAGTTCCCCGGGGTGATGGCAGCGTGTGTCAGAGGGACTAGCACATTCCTCCTGTTTTTCAAGCCAAATCCCTCTTTCCTCTCCCTCCATGTCAGTCCCCGTCTCCGTCTCTGCCTCCCCCTTTCTCTCTCTCTGTATGTGTCTTAACATCAATAGACTAAATTTACCTCTCAACAGTATCCACGGTGGGGACCAATCGAACCGCACCACACAGTTGTGGAATGCAACGTGGATCATGACATGGTGAGAATCGTCATAGAAACCGATGCAGCAGCTCAAACTGGTTATTTTTAGAGCCAATCTCATGGCCTGATGGAATATCAACCTGCATGGATAGGCCTCTCGTATCACAACAACCCATGATGTGCAGGGAGGAGGTAGGTGATGTGGGCGCTGAGGCAGGTACACACCAAACTAAAAGCAGACCTGTTTTCTAAAAAAAGGTTTGTGTTTTTTTCCTGGTTTCACTAGTGACGCCATATGACAGACGCTGACGTCAGCCCTGAAAGTTGAAATGCATTCCACACAAATAATCAGAACAAGGAGGGCGAGTTTGGGTGGGCTGCCCACAGCTGCATTCCTGACCAGCACATGCCCTCACTGCTGGGTGCCCTGGGCTTCAGGGGAGGTCACACCAAAACTGCTTTCAAATACGCTTTTAAAAGCACAACCTATTTATTTTTGGAGGGTGTGTTGGATGGGGAGGGGGCTACAGCATCCTCTCACACACACTGATTTAAGACCAGTCAAACTCCACAAACACTACAGAAAATTGCACAATATGACATTCTAAGTGTTTGGGCAGGTTCCTGTTGGTGACAGGCTATAAGCCCATTTGTGGAGAAAGGCATAAAGACAAACTGTAAACTAGAAGCACAGAAAGTCAGTAGATGATCCTACCTTTTGCTCCCCGCAGGACGAAGCCAAATCCCTCATTCTCCTTCTTCTGGAGCACCACCGTCTTCTCGTCCACCACGCAGTCACTGTGGAGGAGATGCCGAGCAGAGCGCCCGTTAGCACAGCCCATCATCCGCAGCATGGCCACGGACGCCCTGCCCGAGTGGAGGTTCATGCTGACGGAGGAGAGCTAGTCCGGCCAGGGCAGGGCAGGGCAACCCCGACCCCACCCCACCACCACCACCGCGGCTGCCTCCTCCTCCTCCCCCTCTCGCAGCCTCTATCTCTACCAAACGCTATGACAGCCCGGCGACAGCATCTCCAGAAAAGAGACCACCCAAAAAACAAAAAGACAAGAAAAGAAAAAGACGGCCAAAGAAACGCGCCGCCTCCCTTCCTCCTGTTAGTCCTTGTCGCAGCTGCAGCCTGTCAGCCTATGCTCCTACGCGGAGACGCTGGGTGTGCAGCGCGGTTACCCCCGCCGCCGCTGCTGCGGAGGTTCCGGCCGGCGATGTGGGAGTGCTGCGCCGCCGAGAATTAGCGACATCAGGCTGGTGGTGGTAGCTGCTAATGGCTCATGGTGAGGCGAGGAGCAAGGCTGAAGCGCCCCGGGGTGGGGGGAGGCAGAGAGAGCGAGAGGGAGGGAGCAGCAGTCTTGGTGTGGATGGATGTCTAGGTGCGCTCTGCTGTGCACACTCCCAGCTACAGAAGCCACTGACTGGCGGTGAGCGTGTGTGTGTGAGAGTGCGTGCGCGTGTGTGGTGTAGGGGAGAGAGAGTGAGGGGTAGGTGGGTGAGCAGCCATAGAGAAGGGTGAGGACGGGGCCTAGCAGGCTGACTGACGTCTGAGGGTCGCCACTGGCCAGGTCAGTGCACTGACACTGTGTCTTTACTGGTTCCGCTCTTCATTTCAGAAAAATAAGAGATGATTCAAAACTATAAGATTTCATTACCTTTGTAAATAAAATAAAATAAAAAAGTTAAACTGTTTTCATTCTAAAAAATGACACCTGTGTCTGCATCACAAAAAACAATACTGAAAATACCAAGAAAGAGTGACAGGTGTGTTACAGTAATATGTTTGGTCACGGCTTTACCATTGAATATCAAAGAAAGTAAAAGAAAAAACCATATGCACATATATATGTTATGTACAGGAACAGCTTTTTGTAACTTTTTTATTATGGCTAAAAAAACTAGAGCTAATACCCAGTTGCATGGCTGGGTCTTCTTGTAACCCAAGGGCAAAAATGATGGTAAATCCATTACCATGTGGGCTTTGGGGGCAGCTGTATCACTTTGCCTGGTTACTGATCCAGCCTTGCACATTTGGAACTATTGCAGTCTTTGCTTGAATGGCTTCACGGGTTTTGAAAACAAATGTCAGAACAAAATTTCATAAATCAGAATCAGCGCAGAGACTCTCAATGTGTCTGTAAGGCACGGGAACAGAAAATAAAACAAAAATAAACACATGTGCATTGAAATAGGAAATATGTGCAACCAAAAAGGAAAAAAATGAAAGGAAAAATAATATTTGTCAGTATATGTACATAGTTGCATGAAAGGGTTGATGGACTGAAATCAGGGTGACACCCGTGTAGTCAAGCCTGCAACTGCAGCTTAAAAACCACATATCCTCCTTTACACAATAGTAACAGCAGCTGTGGTTATTTATCCTAACCTACACTGCTTGAAGAACCCTCCACATGGTGATGCAACTTCTCTACAGCAGTGGGATTTCTGCAGAAGAAAAGGGCCCTCTTCAAGTTTGACTCAGCAGTAAACTGCCTGGTGTGGCATTTTCCCCTTAGCTTTAAATCTGATCTACTGGTCTTAGTTTTCTGGAGCATGCCAGCACACAGTGGGTCGGTCCACACCTGAGGTGTGAAGCAGAGTTGGCTGACTTAAAGGCCAAGTTTGCTCCTCCAGCCTGAGGTGCGTGCTGTAGGTTGCAGGCACCATTCAGCTTATATTAGGTGCGAAGCTTACACTGAATAGACACGTTGGACCAGAGAGAGAAAACAACCGAGGGAGGGGAGAATAAAGAATTAGGCACCACTACCATCCTAGCAACAGTTCCCTTAGCAACACAATCTGCCTATTGAGGAAGGACACGCACTGCTGACACACTGAAGGTTATCTCCCAGCATTCCCTTGCACACACACACGCCCTCTGCCATAGTGGGCGGCCACTGGTAATCACACCTCGAGCACCCAAATCTGACATGGTAGCAGCTTCAATAGGTCAGTGTGCAGAAAAGGGCCTGGCAGTTCATCATGTTCAACAAGTGATGAGAGGGGGACAGCAGACTGAGGCTGATTTGTGAAAACAAAGCGGAGCATGCAGGATGTGGGCCATGCTGCTCGACAGGCTGTATGGGATGAAGTGCAAGCTCACCCCAGGGAGCTCACTGTCGCAATCTGGGCTCTACACCGGGAGGCCACAGTGTATTTTTAGTCGAGACGAGAGGTTCTATATGCAATGCAATGGCTTTGTTTATCAGACATTCATCTCCTGCTGTCCACGTGACTGGCTCAAGGGCACACTTGTTTGAGGCAGTCATCAAGCGCTTAAATGGAATGACTGATGTCTGGTGGAGAGCAGGATGCACACTCCATCACTGCGGACAAGGGCTTCTGACCTCTGAATAACATGCTTTGAATGCAGCAGAGTACTCTCAGTCTCTCGGGGGCTCATTCCTATGCATGCATTTATTTGTGCCGTGTGACTCCACAAGGACTCCTCGGGCACCAGCGTCATCAGCGTTTTATCTCAGGCAGCAGAGAGCTGATGCATGATTTACAAAAATCCACATCTGGCTTTCCTCCCTCTCCATCTCACCCACTACAGCCTCAGTCAGCAGGGTGAAACTGTCTGTCCACGAGTCAGATTTGAAGAGTAATGGAAAAGAAACGAGCTTCTGCACATCTCAAAGCTTTTAGTCGCACACACCATCATCAGGACATACAGAGTCAGAAACAAATGGTCACAGTTTTACAGCAGGATACTGCTCTCAGCCTGAAGAGATAAAAATACAGCCACCTTCTAACTAGGAAAATGTAATAAGAAAACTTTTTCAGGACCTTGTTCTAGTGAGATCCTTTTTCTCTTAATGACACTTTTAAATGTATGTCTCTTGGGACCATAACAAGTGAAGTTATTTTAGATCCATACATCCATAATAGATCTACAAAAAATGTTTTCTCTACTATGACAGACAAATTAATTGTCATCAAATAAGCACCAAAATACAGTAAGATGTATAAGAAGTTATTTCGCGGTGGTGCAGTTTCCTGTTAACCAGCACATTTCTCTGGTGTGAGGATAAGAATCTAAATATGGTATGTTGTGTCATGCTCGTCTCAGCCTGGAAAGAGTTTATGTTTGCTGGATATAATGGTGACTTAATTCACTTACTCAAGCAGAAACCAAAGTGTCAGTTAGAAATTGTGGCCTGCCACAAACGTATTCCTCATCCATTATGGTTCCTGAATGCACCATGATGCTCATAACCTTAACAGTTTGTGCAAAATGGGCTCCACAAATATGATCATGGACATTTTGTAAAATGCTGTAGATATTGTGACCTTGTACAACTTTATACCTACAACATCAGTGCACACATGAGCACTACAGCACTGCAATACTGTATCAAAACATCAGTGCACACATGAGCACTACAGTACTGCAATACTGTATCAGCTACAGCCTGAAATGCTTCCTCAAAGCCTGATGGCAGGAAGCTTGACAACAACCACTAAACATTTTGCACTGAGAAATGTTCTTATCTTTGGATCACAGTTATGCGCAAAGCATGAGTGAAGCACAAGCTGTTAACATGGCCAGTAGAGGCAGCTGTCCTGGTTTAAACGGAGCATGCCTGCTCTGTTTGGCGTGAGGTGAGCACCTGAATCAGCTGGCTTAGAAAGACCTCAGCTGGTGGCCAAACACGGAGTGACCTTTTTTCCTTTTGAGCAGTCGGCTCTGTGGAAGATTTGTGTTCCAGGCATAACTGTGAATATACCTGGCTTCTTTTATTACATTACTGAGGCAGTAGTCAATGGTATTCTGGTGCTGCCCATCTCGGTTTATCTCCCCTTTGAATTTGCGAGTGGAGGTAAACCTGATCTTTGGCACCTTCTCCTGCCCATACACACACAGGCCTCATGCAAAATGTAATGGCACCAGCTCTGCCAGCTAAACTACTACTATGAATCTTTAAAGAGCAAAGGAAGCTTTGGATGGGAGTGCGTTAGGAAAGTCAGCTTTCCAAAAAATGAGTAAAGCAACATTTTCAGAAAATACTGCCTTTGCCATAGCTGACTGCTCCCAGCTCACTCTGTATCCAGGTTTCATTTCCAGCTGAGATTCCCTCTGGATCTTTAATGTCACATGGGTCTTTAGTCTTTGCCACGATTCACATTCGGCCAAGCAGCCTGCGTCACCAGACTGGGTGAGCGACGGCGGAAATGTTCACCTTGACCCAGACTGGAAAAGCACCCTCCAGCATGTTCACTGAGTCCTGGCAGAGGAAGCCCAGTAGAGTAATGAGGGACACACTGTCCTTCACGGTTTTATCACTATACACATTTCCACATTTTAAATGTAGCTACACAGGCCTGCTATTTTGTCTTGCAGTGTAATGGGAGAACTGACACAAAGCCTGCTGTGTCTATGAGGTACTGACCATCTTTCCTGTGCTGTTCAGGTGAATTAGATATCTGGGCACATTTGCTGTATTTTAATCATCGACTGCCAAACCAGCAGGCTCAGGTGGACGTCTGATGCATTACCATCCTGTTAAACCCCTCCGCTGTCTGATGAAAGGCTGTAAACATGTGAATGTAGAGTCATAAGAAAGGATTGACAGTGACATTAGGTGGGTATTAGGTGGTATTTTCCATCTGTGTAGTTCTTCTCTGGTAGCCTACATCTCTCCCTCCAAGGCAGGTTGAGGAAGCACCTCGTTTCTGCACTGAAATGTCCTGTTAGCCACGGACAAGTCAGGACCACGTGCACGCTCCTGATGATGCTGGACACTCTGCTCACCTATGTGACTGATTCTTCTAAGTATGACTTGTTCATGACGGAGAATTTCCTGTGTGTGTCTCCGGTCTCTCTCTCTTACACTCATGCAAACAGAGGCGTACGCATCTGTGTTCATTTCTAACAAGGCTTGTATTGAAGTGGATGTGCCAGCAGAGAAGAACAGAGCGGAGCAGAGTAACTTAAGTGCGGAAAACGGCAAAAACCTAGGGATTCAACTTCAGGGACCATTAAACAGGACTTTTCACTTTGCTGAAAGGACAGAGTTTCATCTTAACTCTACTGCCACGTTTCCTTTTTTGTTCTGAAGGACAGAGAGAAGGTTTCTTTCAAATGCTGACTGAAGACTGGAAACTCAACAGGTTTGTATAAAACTCAGTAGATTAATACAATATGTAGATTTTGTTTTGTGTGTAGAACTCATCGCTATTTAAGTAAATCAATCAACAAAAAGCTTAAAAGTTTGTCTGTCTGGTTTTTGGTGTACACATACAGCACAGACACACTGCGGACTGATTTGGGAACATGTGTGCGAGGTCCTACCTGGAGGCATCAAAGCTGTCGTAGGAGCCCACAGTGTAGTGTCGGAAAAGCTTCCGTCTGTCAGCACGGTCTGCTCGGGAATCTGCCAAATGACAGCAGAGTGAGATCAATACCCACAGCCCATTCGTAACCAGTACTAGTTAACAAATCAATCGGCTCTGCAGGATGAGGGGAGGCTGTCGGGGCTAGTCAACCCCTGAGCGGCAGCACAGGGCATCTGAAACTAGGAACAATTACTGTATTTATGGCCAGTATTCTGGAAAACATCTCCATGATAGCTGAGCAAACTCTTTCCACTGGTGAAGATCATGTGATAGGGTGGACAAAGCCTGTAAAGACTGAACCTCAGCCAGCAAGGACGAGAAGCAGTACAGCTCCTCTGATGAAACCACAGAGCTGACATGTCAGGGTGTGTGTCGTTCCTCACAACGTGCTGATGAAGACCATGTGACGTGGCTAAAAGCTCTGGTCAAATGCTAGAAAGTGGACCTTGACTTGGGGTTTTCCAAACTGCCACAAAGAATGAAATTTTATGATTAACAAAATCACAAATTTTTCAAAACAAAACAAAACAGATGAATCTGTTTTCTGGCTGTGGTTGAGTTTAGGCACAAAGGCTCCTTGGTTCCAGGGTTGAGGAAATCACCGGCGCGCTTCAAAGAAAATGGCAACGGTGTTGGGAATGGGAAACACTGTAAGAGGTGGCTGTCAGGTAAATAGGTGTCATCTTTCTGGTGAAGGCAACTGTGGAGTACAACCCTAATAACTCAGCCCTTCATGGCCACACTCTAACAATGACAGTCCAAGTCAAATATGTAATACCAGTTTGTCCTTCTTTAAGGAGATGAAGCTTTAAACCGGACACTGACATATTATTACTTGCAATGTGTTGGCGAACAGTTTCCTATTTACACAACCAGCAGACACATTCAATTTGGACTTGTGTTTCTATGAATTTAAGTTGTAGTTCTGCTTTGGCCTCAGCTTCCTCCTCTGTCCTACTTTCTTCACCAGCTACTCTCTCACTAGGTTCATTTGCTGCTCGGTGCTGTATAGTGGTTTTATTAAAGCTGCTAGTGGTTGATGAGAACAAGGTCGTGCCAAAAACAAAACAATGATTTGAGGACGCTCAGCTGCTCTAACCTGCAGACAAGTGATTGTTCTCTGAGAGTTTTCTCCAACATCTTTAACATTACACAGACACTTTAATCCATGTCAATCTAAACATATTTATTCATGCAGCTTTAAATCCTTGAATGTGACCTGGAAAGTCTCTGGTAATGATATGTAATTAGCTGAAGTTCCTTATTAAAATGCCGATGACATTAAAATGCATTTGAAACCAACAAACAAAATAATGAACTACTAAAACTGCATGTTAGCTCACAGTGTCGCCATGTGGAGGACCCTGTTTAACATTAATTTACATGCATACATTGAGAAGAGCGTTTAAATAAAGATCCGGAGGGTAGCAATATTGGCTGATAAAAGGAGAAATAAGAGATGTGATCATTTAATCTACCAGAAGCTGCTGGTATCATTATGACTGTGTGGAGGGTAGAAGCAGAAGCACAATGCCTCAGAAACCCAGACACATTTGATGAAATGCCAGTTCTTAGCTGTGTTCTCTCTTCCCGTCTGACTCTTTTTAACTGGTGTGTACAGCAGCATTAAGCTACAAACAAGCCTGAATTCACACACACACGACCTCCAGAGTGAAGACTCCAGTTGTCTCGTGTATTTGTCCTGCTCAGCGCCATCCACCCCCCGCCCCCCCATTACTTGCTTCACAAACTCTCTCACACCAGCTGTCACACTTTCACAGAAACTCCATCTCCTCTGATCCGGCTTAGATCCTGTCATCTTTGCAGGAACATTTTTTCCTCCCCCTGATTCTACTGTATGTCCACAGTGTCAGATTGGAGGAAGGAGGATGTGGTTGGGAGAAGATGATCGACCAATAAGAGATAAAAATCAAAAAGGATAACAGCTCTGCATTTTACAGAAAAGAAGAAAGGAAGAAGAAAGAAAACATAGTTAATATGTGCAAGAAAAACAGAGAAACAGAGAGAATATCCACAACACAGTCATACTCCATGGCAACTGCTGCAGCCAGTTGGTTTCTATGGTCACAGATCAATAGAGATGTGAGGTGTGTGTGTGTGTGTGAGCAGCAGTGGGTTCCTTCCAAGTGTTTCTTTTTCCCTCCTCGCTTCCTTCACTCACATCTCACCTTGCAGCACGAGGGACAGATGCGAGAATGAGATGGAGGAATTGACGCAACACGTCTGCCAGATGAGATGTTACTCGGCCCAGCCTCATTCTGACCATCAGTGCTCATGGTGTGAAGTGCTGCACAGCTGCATCACCTGCTCATGCATTGTTTTGCTGATGCAGAATTGTGTTTCACTCAGAGTGTGTGATTTGCTGTTGTACTGAAAGCTGGTTTCCTATAATCACTATAACCTTTTATTGTTCTAATACTGTACGTGTTTTGTCTGGTGGTTTTATTTATTTTATCGTAGCTCAGTGTCGGCCTGAGAAGCTGTCAGTGCACCATGTCCATCCAGCTTGAAATAGCTTGACAACTAGTGGATGGACTGCCATGAAACATTCATGTTCTCCAGAGGATGAATCCTAATGGAGTTCATCTGGTCTCAGCATTTTGGAATATGCACAAGTAAAAGCACAATATCATATGAAGCCCTGCATTATTGCTTCATTCTGATGTTTTGGCCTTACACATGTACAGTAAGACTAATTATTATTAAAATGGCCAAAACTAATGGACATATAGAACCGGTTGTGTACTGTTTAGTGCTGTCATTGTGGAGTTAACGACTTCACGGAGGTGTTGGGGTACATGCTGTACATACATTGAACAGGTGGTCCATACATGTGTACAAAACTGCTTTCACATTAAGAAACTGCAGCTCAGTTAAAGCCATTAATGAATTTGTAAGTATAGTTCAAGATAAAATAGTGACAGGTTGTTACTCTAAGACCTTTATTGATGAACCTTTCAAATGTTATTCAAGCAAATTAAAATGCCAGCTCTGCATCATCTCTTACAGTCCCATCAGATCAGCTGCAGTATCCAATCACTACAGTAATTACCAGCCCTGAGGCCAGCTGATGCTTCTTGATTTCAAGTAAATACAGCAGGGATGGTCATATAATGAACAGATTTACTAACATAGATTGTGTTTCCCAGAAACACTGCTCACCAAGGTGAGACACCGAGGCAGTGGAGGATGCAGAAGTGAGGGACTTGCACCCTTTATTACCACCAGGTGGCGTAACCCCGGGCATATAGCTGTGAAGATGACTATCCTACTAGCCGGGAGTCTCCGACCTTACTACCTGCCCAGATTGTTTTCACATGCCATTATTGTCTGTACTTACGATGAGTTTATTTCCCAATTTTTTTCTTTAAACATTTGAGGAGTGGGTAACAGAAGACACCGGGATGATGTGTGGACGGTGAATGAATGATTAATAGAAGTGTAAAAAACTCCAAACTCCCTCTCCAGTGACTGCCTGTCACTTGGTCATCACTTAGGTAAGAAATGCATTTTTCAGTTGCCTGTTATTTCCCCAATCAGCCATAGCTCTTCGGCTTCATGCAGGCTGTTCCCTGCCTGTCTAATTACAACACACACACACACACACACACACACACACACGTGGCCTGTGGCCTTGGCCAAGGCTGCTTTTGAATGGGTCTTTGCAATCCACCATACTGTGCTCCCATTTTCTGACAGGACTTCTTTGCAGGCAGACCTGGGGGCAATTTGGATGTGGCACAGTGTGAGAGAAGCTCTCTGTGCCAGTGGCCTTGGATTAGGTTTTAAAATAAGCCACCTAGAAGAAGGCAAACCGTCAGAAAAAGAAGAACGAGCTGCTCTCCATCTGCCTCTATCACTGCTGACACACTCCTGAGAGTGGGGAAGACTAAGGGGATGGGTGGGTGTGGGAGTTGACTCCAGCAACACTGTGCTTTGTGATAATGTCAATAATTAAATAGTGACAGAGAATACAATACCAGTGGATGAAAAAGGCTGCGGTACAAGTAAGAGAGTAGGACAGGCCTTGTCTCAGAGATATTCTGACAGCGCTCAGGAAGAGCACAGCACAAAGAGCTTGGCAGCGGCAAGGCAGAATGCAAGAACAAGGAATAATGGGATGTTTATGGGGGACAGAGCATGGCATGATATATTCATTAGCTTGCACCCAGAGGACTTCAGAGCACAGCTGAGTTAGCAGGGCACTGTAGCACTTAGCATTGTGCACCACAGCAAGGGGGAGGTGGACAGAGACTGGAAAACAGACAGAGGAGTGAGACACATGCTGGGGCAGAAAAAAGCCACGTGCCATCACACTGCCTCAGGAAGCTACAGCATTTAGTCTTAGCTTCTCTTTTCTCTATCCTCCCCCCTCCACAAAACTGGGTGATGGCAAACAGTGTGTGTCCTACATAAGTCAGTGTCCCACCGCCACACAGCCCCGAGTGGTTAGACTTACAGCTCCTCTCCTCGGCGGCCTTGGCCGGGATCTCCTCCACACAGTCGGCTGGAAACCAGCCCACCTGGCCGCGGGTGCTGCCCTCCCAGAAACCCCCCTCTCCGATGCTCAGAACTGGACCAAGGGGAAAAAGAGTGGAGAGGAGGGGGGAAGTTGGGAAAGTGGAGAGAAGACAAAGAAAAATTACACTGGTTTCATGGCACAAAGTGAAAGAGCAGAACAGGGCATCTGTCCCAAAAGATCAGGCAAAGTGCTTAATTTAAATGTCACATTTGAATACTAAGTACTACAACATGAAGGCAAAGGTGTGTGTTATACAAACTGAGGCCGACAGTGCCCAGAGTGTCAGAAACATGTTCAGCGTTTATAATGTGACAATGTTCATCATGGAGTGGATAAATGGGGCACATTATTCACAAAATCTGACTCGCAGATTTGTTAACGGCTGCAATTAAATGTCATCCATTAACAGTGTGAAGTGCTGGAGGTCTCGGCTGCTGCCTAACACTGTGGACAAGCACTGTGGCCTGGCACATGCTCTTCTCTAGGAATCCAAACTCAGACGCTGAAGATACTCAGAGTGTGTGGCCAACAAATGCGTTTGGACAATGGCCTTTGGTCTGTACAAGGCAATCTTTAATAGTTCAGCTCAGATTTATATAGATAAAGATCAGTTTGTTAAAGAGCTGCTGTTGATTTAGGACAGTCTATTTACTGTTTCACTAAAACAGCAGCAACAACAAAAACATTCTGAAATGTGAAAATGATGAAACCTGAATACATTATTTGTAAATTTTATGTCTGAGAAGAGATAATTAAGGAATTCTGTAAAATCACAGTTTGTTTCATTCCGGTTTAAACTCCTTTGGAAAAACTTTTCTTTCATTTAAGCAGCTTTTCAATGGGAGCATCCGGTATGAAACACAACACTCCCTTACTTCCAGGTCTACATTAATCCAGCAAATAGTAATAGTCAACTGTTATGTATAGAGTTTTATAAACATCTTCCAAATCAGCTTTACATATTTAGTATTGCTGGAAACTTTGGGATCTCCACTAGAATTAAAAATAAAGTTCTGTTGGTTCTATCAGCATGAGTCTGCACTGACTGTGAGCCCTGTATGTGACATGAATGAATTGAACCGTCAGCTGACCATAGCATCACACCCCATCTAGCTGTGTCTGGTGACTTGTCACTATCTACATACTTGTTATCCAATCAGCTGTAACTGATGTCTAGAAAGATCAATATGGCTCAGAAACAAAACTCATACCAGAGAGGAGTGTGGCTCCAGCCATTTTGATAGGAACATTTGATTTAGCAAAAAATAGCACTGTCAGCAGAGCTAATGGGGCAACTAATGGGGTAGTAAATACAAATGTCAAACAGGGTAAACTGTTACCATTGAGAGAAAATTGTATTAAGGACAAAGTCATAAGCTTTGCCCTCTGACTCCCATTCGCCCAGTAACAGTGGCTTAAGTGAAGTGTCTGGGGCATGAAGCTCGTCCTCTGTGAGACCACAGACCTACAGTGTTTCTGAAATTATCTGCATGTCTGCAGATGAGGAGGATTTGGCATCTGTATTTGATCCTGTAGAGCCTGGGGAGTCATTTTCATCAGATATGATAATGTGCTGTTTGATTTCCAGTTGTCTCATTTTCAGGCAAAATCAGGGGACGAAGGCAGCAACGAATCAGTGCCATTTATGTTGATTTTGGTATTAATCATTCACCCTCTAAGGGAGGAAATTCTGTTTCTCTCTCTGGTTTGGGCCAAATGTGGAATGTAACCAAACACATTCAGTAATGCAACCGGACTGTTTTTCAGTTTTATGTGACTTTATACTTTGTACAAATGTTTTACTCCACTACAGTTCTTTGTAGTGGAACTGCTTTGCAGATTCATATTATTAATCCATAATAAAATCAACCATTAATGAAGGTGCAGCCCGAGAGAAGGAGAGTGAAAAATGTTTTTCAAGTGAAAAAACATGACATCTCTGTTTCAGGTGCAGGGTCACATGCTGCTGAGACACAGCAGCAGGTCTTGGTGTGTACAGCTTGTATTTTGCTGACTTCCTGACCCTAGAACAACACTAGCTATGCTGTGGGCCACTTTTCTTCTGATCCTCTCAGCAATGAACAAGCAAGTAAAGTAAGCCAACCAACAAACTAAGCCCCATCTCACCTTTGACCCTGTCGTTCTTGTAGAGGTTGATCTCTCCCTGGGCCTGGGCGGTGTAAGGACGGACCACCACAAAATGTCTCCCAGGAACTGCACTGTACAGCTTCCTCCTGGTGCCCACTGCCTCACCATGACTGCTGGGACTGACAGAGAGAAAAACACCACCGACTGGAAGTTAAAGCACAAAAAGAAAATCACGTTTACGTGGAGTGAGCACAATAACAGAAACATGTCAACAATTTGGTGGGGCATGTGGGCTAATTTCCTTCTGCACCTATGGCTGCATTAGTCTTACACACTGCAAAATTATCTGAAGTGGCAATAAAATATTTGCTCAGTAGTCCTGCAGAAATCTCTTTTGGTATCAGTGTATTTATAGAAACTGTGCTTTAATAATTAACTCAATTGTTACGATAATACTGGTGTAAAGAATCAGCAGAAGACAAGAAACTCCATGTGCAATATTGTCATGTTTGTAACTCCAGAGCGACTTAAGGTGAAACCTGAGAGAAACGCTGAGCGTTGTGAAAGGTTATCAAAATTTCACATCTGCTCAATAGGTTAAATAAAAGAATCGAGAAAGGAACATGATGCTTAGCTTTAACAGCGGGGGCCTATTATGTGCTGTTTGTCATGTTGTCCACACCCTGCACACAACATCTGCAGGGGTCAGCGTGCACGTGTGGTACAGTAGTAAGTGTGTGGTCTGGCTCTGACCACACAGCTGAAAAATGGCAACTAAAACAGCTCCACAAGTGGAGGTCCCGCAGACACATTTTGACTCTGCACAGGCTGTTAAACCTGAATCCACAAATTCAGACAGCACTTATATATGTTTGTGTGACACTTAGTTAATATAAGCTGCCTCAAACCAAACGTGATCTCGCTCATCCACACATGGAGCTGAGATGAAACAGAGGAGTGCTGCTGGTTGATGCGCTTGACACGATAATCTACCGCCACCTAGTGGTCAACCTCCATAACAACACTTGCCACAACAAATTCAACAATACAAATACAATTAATGACTAGAAGTTTTTATTATGAGCAAAAATTATACTATAATTTTTTAGCTATTTCATAGTGAGTAACTCCTTGAAGGTGTGACATGTGTAGCAGCTTCTTTATCATTTGCATTAATGTTGAAGTCTTACTGTACATGTGTAAATCTGTGTGTGTTATTAAATGACTCAGAAATGTCATGCTAAATGGATACACCCAGGAGACGCTGATGAACATCTTCTAATCTTCTTGTTAAATTTTGAAAAAGTCTTTTTATACAAGCTGGAGCCACAATTGCAGAATATGGGATAAGGTCAGAAAAAGAAGGATTTTAATACAAGCTTGAAAGTTTGCCTCCATGTGCTCCTTTTGGTGCATATGTACAAGGTGTAAGTAAGTTGGAGATAAAACCACAGTAAAGGAAAGCCAGGAAAATTAAAACGAAAGAAGGAAATGGAGTGCAGGAGTAAGGGATTGAAAAAGAGGAAGGAAATGTTTTTTTCAAGTAAGTGGGTCACCCTGTCCTGTAGACTGCACCCCTCCTCAAACCTTCATGTGTCTTTGGAGAGCTAACCCTATTCAATAATGAGACTGCTTGCACTTTTTTTTTAAGTGAGAGCCATGGACAAAACTGAACATAATGCTGTAGCTTTCAACCACAGACTTACACCAGACTACAGAGTACAACTATGGTCAGACTTCTAACTTTGTGAATGGGTGGGCCTCATTCAGTTCAGTGTATTTTTGATCTTTTTCATAGTTTCATGGCATTGACTTTTACAGCCCTTGTCTTCAGTGTGTGGCTACAAATATCTGCTGGGCTGAAGAAACACTCACTATTCAACAGGCTACTCAACAAGTACACAACAGTACAAACATCATTGGAAAACCTCACCTTCCACTGAAAGCTTCTAAATGTCGCCTGTAACCTTAACACTAGGTATACGGATGCTGTGGCTGATATTAGCCCCATCATAGTGGTGATGAATGTGATTGATCACCAGTAATTTAATCATTACACAGCACATGTCCTGTTCTACTCCTTGTTACTAACTGATATGTTATTGATGCAGTAAAGAAGATAATCTGTTATAGCACAATTCAGTGTTCAGGTAAAAAAACACAAGGGTCTAAATAAGGCATCTATCCTCAAGAAGAGACTAAAAACAGAACAAACACAAAATCCAAATCCTTTACAGTACATGTCTCCTCTCCTGCTGCTACAGTACTTTGCTTCAGACACAGCCATGAATAGTGCCATTAACACAGTGACTATTGTACTGAAAGAAATGCCAAAGCAGCTCATCACAGAAACATCTCCTAGCTCTAGATGTTTAATACTATGCTTTGTTTTATACTGTATTAAAAATATTGTACTGAAAAAACAACATTCATGTTAGAATTTTTGAACTTAAATAGTTGAGGCACTCAAAAAAAGATACATTTACAAAAGAATGATCACACTCCCTAGTTTGGGTCAGGCTCTAAAAATACTGGGTCCAACATTACCCATAATGCACCATGAGACATCTGTACCAGTAAGAAGGTGTAACCTGATTACATCACTATGACATCAGCATGGTCATTTTCATCATACATGACAAACGTGTACATGGATCTTAAAGTGTAAAACAGGTGGAATGACCCTTTAACAAGACAATACTTCTTCCTACTTTCCAGTAATTTAGTGAGACTTTGAAGGCAGTGGTCAAATTGGACAATTTACAACCAAGCTGTGTCCCTTCCGTGTTCAAAGAGGTGCTTTTTATTGTGAAGATTTCAAATTTTCATCTCATACCCATGCTAATTTTACACACCTCACAGAAGGTTCTTTTCATACACAGTCAAGTCATCCTCCGTCGCTGCTGAGGGGCTGTACTAAATCTGTACTTGCTGGTATAATCATGTGGGAGAGACATTTCCCACTAAGCCAGATCGCAGATGAAGCTGAATCCTGCCTACAGGATCAGCAGGTACAGCTAAGACGGAGAAACTGGCGGCCATGTTTTCCCTTATGCTTTTTTTTGGCATTTACCCAGGTGGCTTTGAGGTGCTAATTAGACAGTGTTGATTAACACCAGCTGTGCATAATTTGTGCTATTATTGGATGATCACCCGAGATGAGCGAGAGGACAGAGAAGGAACAGCAACATTATACTGTAAATACATAAATACACCACAATCCACATGTTTTAACATTCAACAACATCTGCCCTGAAGACACTGAGTGATGTCATCAGGCCCTACAAGGACACAGAAGTGAGACCATGACCCCATTTATGACCTGGCATAAAAATGTATCTGGATATCTCATCTGCATTTGGATAAATATGTCACTGTAGGTGTAAATGCATGTGAAGGTCTTTGCAGTACTGCAGTCAGAGTCCAGATCTGAAGGTGGTCTGGCTCGCAGGGGGCCTGGATCCCAGCCAGGTACAAAGGCAGACTGCTTTGTAGAGAATACTATCGTTGTAGTTTGACCACATCTTTAAAGGCACATTCATTGATTTTTTTTTTCTTTGGGGGGGGCAGCAGAGCTGTGAGCACAACACTGACATAATAATTCATTTGGACAGTGCTGGGGAAGCCACTTTGAAAGCATCACTACCAATTACTTCACACTGAAGGAGCTGAACTACAGCAAAGCTGCTCCAGGGAGAAATCTAGTTTGGTGAACTAAAGCTACTTAGAAAAAACTGGTCAAACTAATAACGTATGTGTGATACAAAACTATAACTATAATGCAAAAAGGTCACATACCAGTATAAGTTTATTACCTGAGACCTGAACCTGTCCTAAACAATCCCATCTAGACTTTTCACAAGGACAAAGCCGCAGGGAATCTGGATTTTCTTTTATCTGACTACAACTAAAACAGTAAGGAAAAAACTATTTAACTTGCATCTTTTTAAACCATTTGACTGACTGGTACACTGGTCTAAAAATCAACAAATCTTCAACCTGCATCTTTTCAGATGTGCAAAGCTTGAACACTGGTCTTTGAACTTGTCAGAGCAGACTCTCTTGTTTACATGACACATGGGCAGTCTGTTAAAGTTCTTATCCAGCTGGGGGTTCTGTTTGGGACTGAAAATGCTCTTAATGCCGAAAAGCAGAAAATCACTGCTTTCTGCTTATAAACCAACACTGTCTGTAGTTTCAGTAGTTAACTACATAAGACATAACTGCTTGAATCACTGTAAAAATAAGAATGTAGTTGAACAGCCAGGAAGCTACTGCAAAATGTAGTTAAACTAGTAGTTCTCTGTTCCCCCGCACTGCAGCTGGAGTCATGTTGTCTCGGCTTTTCTGTCAAACAGCAGCAAAGGAGAAGTAAGTGGAGCCTGTAGAGCGACATCACTTCCTCATCCTGGGACACGATTAATTTACAGTGCAGACAGAATAAAGAGAAGAAGGCTTATTAACATACCCATGCAGAGTTTGGACCACTAGTGTTTTGTTTATATTCCATGAGCGCTCATAGGGACACTCGTGCACACACACACGACACTGTGACACAAAGCACATTCCAGTGATGCTGTCATGCTGCTTCACTGATTGACAGTTGGTGGCGGTAACACTGCCAACAAACGGCAATGCACTGAAGGCTGGGGAGGAGGACAGCTTTACCATGGAAACATGGATGGAAACAATACGGATTCCAAAATATCTGCAACTAGACAGCACTCAGAGCATAAACCTCCACCCAGGCAGCCCACTGACCACATCATGCCACTCCACCTAAAGGCAGTAATCCCATAATAAGATTCCTTGACCATGAGAGACCATACTCAGCATTTGGAATCACACTGATTTCATTGGTAGTTTGAAAGTTATTCAAGAAAATTGATATTTCACTAATGGCGGTTTCTTCAGGATGTAGCTCCGTCGGTTTTGGAGATACATCAAATCTCTGTAAACTCTGTAAATCTCTGCTGATCCAGAATGTGACTTGGATCCAGGTCAGACTTTGGTGTGTAGCTGATCCCATGGGGATGTTACTGAGCAGTTTTTGTCTAAAAGTGTGTGTGGAGCTAGAAGCAGAAGTAATTATCTCACAATGGTGAAGCATCCTTTAAAAAAATTCCTAGATCCAGATGATGATGCGGATCAGCACCAAAATCTAATGGATTGTTCAGTG